AGCTAGCTGTATGCTGTAAGTTAGCGGCTTGATATCTAGAAAAGTCAAATTAGAGTGCCAGTATGAATCTATAATTATCCTTTGCGGAGTTTCGTAGAGACAAAAAACAAGTTAGACAAGAATAAAATCTGAACAATAATCTGATTACCACTCTGTATCTCTCTGTGTTTTGTTCCTATTGGAAATTGAATTGAAACAATAGTTTGCTGGGTAGGAACAAATATAAAGAAAAAATTATAAATCTGATTACCTTTTCAGTTTCTCATGCTCCTCCCCTCTTGGTCACCATCAATCTCAAAGACAATTTGTGAGCTTTTTGGGTGAGATTGAAACTTAGGGTTATAATATGAATCTGATATGAGAAAGATGATAGAAACTGAAAATAAAGGATATGGATAATGGATTGAAGGGAGATGGGAATAACAGAGAAAAATATAATGGTGGATTATTAAGAGATCGATGGATTAAATAGAGCTCCATGGAGAAATAATTAGGAAAGGGGCTGTTGCTCTTGGCTGGCTGTGTGGCGTAGGAAACAAAGAGTTTCTGAATGGGAAGAGGAAGAGCCTTCCTCGTTCAATTACAACGCTGACTTTCTGTTTTTTTTTTTTTAAAATTTAATTTTTAGTTGGACAATAAAATATATATATAATATAAAAATTTTTGGGGCCCCTTAATTGGAGGCCCATGGCCAAGGCCCTTCTTGCCTACCCCCAGGGCCGGCCCTGGGTGCAGAGAATGTTGGTTTAACTCTCTCCTAGGGATTGCCCCTGAATGGTGTGCTGTTCTGGGCCATTTATATGAGCTGCTTTGTCGAAAGTAAGATGGTATCAGTTGAGAGGATAAAACAATTTACAAACATCCCATCAGAAGCAGCATGGGAGATAAAAGACCTGTGTTCCTCCTTCAAAATGGCCTTCCCGTGGCAATGTCGAGCTCAAAGACTTGCAGGTAGTTTACCTTCAGTTCTGTTTATATCTTCTGAAAAAATAAAGTCAAATCTTACATTCCATGAGCTGCTACACTCTAGCCATTTGTCGTCCCAAATGGTATATTTGTAGTACATCTTCCATGGCTAGTGTAGTGGACAGACAAATGAAAATGGTCTGCATGCAAGTTGTCATTACTTGTTCCTTTTGATATCGTCCAAATACACCTTTAGAAATCAATTGTTCATCTCTCTCATGCGCAAGAGAGAAAAAACTCTTAATCAAATTGAAGGGTCTACTAGGGTGCCTACAAAATTCTATTTAAAGCGTATAGCCGCGCGGCTATACTCTTTGAATATATTCGAATATTTTAACGGTATAGCCGTCCGGCTGTACTCTGAAAATATTCGAATATATTCTGAAAAGTATAGCCGTGCGACTGTACGCTGAAAATATTATATTTAAACAGTTAGCAGCGCGGCTATACATTTCGAATATATTCGAATATTTTAACAGTATAGCCGCGCGGCTGTAGTGTGAAAATATTATATTTAAAGCGTATAGCCGACCGGCTGTACTATGCAAATACTATATTTAAAGGGTACAGCCGCGCGGCTATACTCTTGGAGTATATTCGCATATTTTAATAGTATAGCTGCGCAGCTGGACTCCGAAAATACTATATTTAAAGAGTATAGCCGCTCGTCTATACGCTTTGAATATATTCGAATATTTTAAAGGTATAGCCGCGCGGCTATACGCTTTAAATATATTCGAATATTTAGATAAGCTAAGCTTGTATATTGTCTCTATTGCATATATAGTCTCATACATGGGCGGAACTAGCAACAAGGCTACCATGGGCTCTAGCCCAGGTAGCCTTTAAAAAATATTTAAAAATATTATATGTATTTTTATGTGATTTCACTCTATAAAAGATTAGTAGTCCACCCAAATGTAGCCTAATAACCCCTTGTCCACTCAACCTATAGGCCTACAATAATCTTATATTTAATTTGTTTGCTCAGTTAAGAGCACCTCCAATGGAGATATCAAATAATATGTATAAAAATTGGATTTGATGGCTAATAACTTTAGTCAAAGGAGTTATAAACTAGCGAATTGAACCCGAGTGCACTTGGGGGAGAGAGGGAGAGTTTGATCCACTTTTCTATTGTGGTGTCACCCTATGTGCGTGGTTTATATGATTTAATGTATACTTTTATTTCTAGAAAAATATAGAAATTGTAAGTATAAAAATAAAATAAAAAGAGCATTAGATTTTAAGCTAATAACTTTAGCTAGCCCACCCGTTAAAAAATTCCTGGTTCCGCATTCTAACTCAATTTGTGATTGTTATTTCTTAAAATTCCAAGGCATGTACAAGATGCATGAATTGTTTATTCCGATGAGGATGACCAAATGTATTGGATTTTTATGCATGCCATTGCCAACTGTGGAAGCTCCGATATGCTATTCGTTGTGCAAAAGTTGGGGAATCACATGGTCTTTTAATATTCTTAATTAAAGTGAGATAGTGGGAGACCTGATGAACTGATAATTGAACTTTTTTCTTTTTCTTTTTTCGTAGTATATGGGGCCACGGCCAAAACCATCACATCATAAAAGTCGAAACCAATTAGGTTTAGTTTTCTTATATTAATGACTTCTAAAAACAAATGAGTAAAACATTTGTAAGAAAAATAGATCACACAATATTTTTCAATCAATTTTAGTTCAAAAAATAATAATTGAAGACAAAACAATTATGGTGGAGTTTTAGCATAATACAATTATGATGAGAAAAAACTGATTTAATACCTTTAAAATAAAAAATAAAACTCCCATCAAGCAACAACCACCTCCCTCCCCAATCCAGCCCGTCTTAAGTTCAAGGACTAATAAAATGATTAACCCTTTCGAATATAATAAAACATTATAGCCGCGCGGCTATACCTGTTTATATATTTTTATTTTTAAGGCGGTATAGCCGAGGGCTGTACTTTTAAAATATTCGAAAATATATTTAAAACGTATAGCCGGGCGGCTATACTCCTTTATATTATTTTATTATTTTTAACGAGTATAGCCGAGCGGCTATACGCCTTAAATATACAATTTTGTCATATTATATTAGATTGGACTAGAGTTATTTCTTCAATTATTTTATTTATACAAGCGATATTGGGGAATGAGAATTTAAATTCTTTCCGATACCTCCCATTCTAATGATTTCCGCCTATTAGCCCATTGGGCAAGAATAAAAAATGGATTTTATTTATAAGAAATAATACAGTTTAAACCCATAAATACAACAACAAAAGATAGGGATCCACCAACATTTTGTGGGTCAAAGACTGTTGAATTTCATAGTATAAAATTCCTTGTATAAGAATTTACTTTCTAAAATGTATCCATCGTAATTATGAACTGAACCCAATTACAACCTTTTTCTAATTGCACTTGACAACCCCTACTCTTCTGCTTTGAGATACATCAGTATATTCTCTGCATATGAAAAATTGGATACAAAACATATTAATGTGACAACGAAGAGAAGTTTCCAGCTCTGTTTTGAAATAAATTAAAGATATCGAAGGTCATATGGAATTTATATACCAACTATTCTAAATGAGATTTCAAACAACATGTGTTAGATGAGAAGTAGCATCTCATTCTTACGTATACCATACCCACGTGCACCTGAAATTCCCAATGTGAAGAGGGGAGAAAGTGCAATACCTCTCTTGTATCTAGAAAGCGTAGGAGATCCAACATTTCACGAGGACGTTGGTTTGATAAAGAAGCAAGCTGCATCCAATCTTATATTAATACCGGCAATCACATCCCACAATATACTCAATTTTAATAAAGAGAAACATAAAGTTACCCAAAAGTTGAAGGTTTGAGTCCTGCTGAAATGGCCCTATATTTTTTAAGGTAATGTACTGTGAAAAGGAAAAACACAAAAGAAGAGCATCTCTAGGAGGACAAAGGAAAAAAAACGCAAAACAAGATAAACAATACAGGAAAGAGGACTAGCACTAGCTGTAGAATGTAATAATATAAACAAGGCAGAATGCCCAATTCGCACTAGCACTCGTCTTTTATTCTAGGCTACTACTAAGAAGTCAGAAATACCTGCACGACCATTTGCAGAAGATTCATGCAATCCACCCACTATTAGCACATATATATATCTATCATGGCCTGGATGATTCACATACTTTGATCCAATACTGATTTCAAGTCTATGACGTAATCACTGATTGGTAATTCTAACTGCGAGAAATGTGCCTGAATGTAGAATTCATGCATGGTAAGAGAATAAAACGATGAGAGAACTAAAAAGGATAAGGACATGAAGTTTTTATTTGAAAAACATATAGTTGAAGACAACTCTGACCTGAAATAGCAGATTGGCTTTGACATGTGGATCATCTAAGCGGTCCTTATCCATTTTATATCAAACTCAGGTTCAGTATTGTCCAAGCCATAGTAAGCTGGATTAAACATCTGTAGAAGACAATGCCCATGTAAGATTTTGTACAGGCTCAATAAATCAAATACTAAGGACACAAAATAATAAAAACCAAAGGCTTTTAACTTGTGTCTTCACCACATTTAAATACAAGAGGATCACTGTCACAACAGCAATGCAAATGATAGGCGTTCTGAACTTTAACAGCGAAGAAAAGATAGGTGTAGAGTATTGAAAAAATAAAAAGGAAAATGGTTTATTGATTAGATATAGGACTGCAAGACTTCATCCATTGACTTTATTAGATTTTCTGATATTCAAAACCCCAAACAACCTGATTCCTAGTATTTGAGGCACATATTCATAAAGTAACATGATTTGTTAGGCACGTGCGGATTATGATGGACATCTACTCCCATCTTTCTTGTAGAATCTGAGCAACTGTTGATTATAAAGGGAGAAAAGCATGTAATCTGATTCACATATTTCTTTCTTTCCATTTTTTATTCTATATAGTCTTGTGTGACCAAAACCATCATTTGCAATATATCTGTGATTGATATTGGAAAATCAACATATCTCTTTGTTTTCCCATCATAATATTTTGTTCCCTGCAAGAGAATCAACACTTACGTAAATTTGTCCTGAAGAACAGCTACTGCAATATACTCCTACTAGAAACCTTTGTAAATGTAGGAGCCAAATGAAAAGGATACTGGACTACCTTAATAATGACCAAATGATGATCTGGAAGGTTTACACCCCATGCCAATGTGCTGGTACAAACCAATACCTATAATTTAATACGTATGCCTAATCAGTATATAGAGTAAGAACATGATCTTTTTATATTCTCTTTTCCTAATGTGTTTTTCAGGAAAGACTCATGCTTACTGAGGTAAGACAGAAATGCATGAATCTTGTTGTTTGCAAAAAGCTCCTCAACTAGAGATCCATCTTTGTCATTCAGACCGGCATAGTGTAATCCAATGCCAAACTGCAATGTGTGCCTCAGGTTAAAGAACCATCTACTGGGCTTCTTATGGCATACTAAGAAACTGCCTTGGATGTTCATCTGACGTTGCCAACTTCAATAACAGCAGCTGAAACCAAAGAAAAAAAATCCAAGCTTGAGTTGAGACAGAGGCTTAAGACCGAGTATTTGAATTTTGAAGATTGGACTGCGAGTGCAAGATTTGTATTCGTTTCTCTGCCTCTTCATTTCACTCGCGCACCACATTCCTCTGCGAGTGCAAGCGTTGTCTGTCTTCATTTGGAAAAAAAAAAAAAAAAAAA